CAGTACCCCCCCCCCCCCCGCGGAGGGACTCCAGCCGTGCTCCCCTCTCTCCCTCTCTTGCTCGCACGAAACGGCCGCCCCCGCGACAACCGCCGCGATGCACAATCTTAACAGTACAACCCAGTATTTTTAGGTTGCAAACACAAGCGTTTCCCTACGTACTGCTGTACTCGTCACATTTTCCAAACATTTCCCTGTTTACTCACGTGCTGAACTCTTTCTCGCTCTTGTCGCTCGACACGAAGACGATCTCGAACGGCTTGCCTGCAAAATATCAGGCACAAACCACACCAAAAACACAGCAGCACGGCACGAGAAAGCAAGACAACGGCAGAGATTAGAGCAGAAAGGGCAAAAACAAGTGCTGACGACGGCAACTGGACGAGGTATGGTTATTACTCGTCCATGCAGCGGGTGAAGCGGGTGAAGGTGCACTGCACAAGAGAGGTGTTGTGCCACTAGTTCGGCTATTTACACAGCTGCAGCAGGGAATTTCTACTTGATCGCGGATAACATCAACTGATGACAGGCCTAATGATCCTGTGCACGTGTGATTGTGAAGATTCCATCAAGCAAAAGCCAATCACACCATTGTCGTCTGCCACTTCTCTATGCACATTACTGCTGTCGCGCTTCTTATATCTCACTTTCAAGCAAGCGGGTCGAGCCCTATCAGACCAGGTGCCCCCATGGATAGGCATAGACTACTTGCTCAACGCATCGCCAACAAGCCGCGGCAACACAGAACACTTCCTTTGTGACCGAAGTCTTCTCACCGTCCTTCTGAAGCTTGCTGTAGACGCTCTTGAGGATAGGCGTGAACTGCTTGCAAGGTGCGCACCAACTGGCGCTGAAGTAGACGGCCAACACCTTGCCCTCGAGGGCCTCCGCCGTTACCTCAGAGCCATCAGCCTGAAACGACGACAGCAAGGACGAGGACGACATCATTCGCAAAAGCAACAGGCACGTGTGGTAGACAGAAAAATTAAGTAACGAAAAAACAGAAAAAAAAAACGCGGTTGGAGAGTATTTCCGGTGCGACACCAAAAAAGAGGACGCAATCGTATTTGTCGTGTACAGTATGAGTACACACGCATCCCAAGTAAACGAGCCAGAAAGTGAAAAAAATAGGGTCAAGACAGATATCAATAGCTTTCAAGTCGACCAAATCTTACAGAGTGAGCAAAGGTGGCCGTGCCGCGACGGTACCTGGAAACGTCTAGACGCAGCCTCACCTTGAGGAACTTGGGTCCCAGCATCTCCTTCAAAGACTTGTTCTTCCACGGGAAGTCTTCCGGGAAGAAAACCATGTTCGAGTAACCGTCCCGAGTTACGACCTCACCCTGGAATGACCAAACGACAACGACCACAATAAAAACGAAAACAAAGTGACGACTTCTGCACAAAAACGTACGAGCGGCAACAAGACGGAGGAAAAAAAGAAACATGAAAAACGTTGTACAATAGTCTAGCAGGGCGCCACCTCGCACAACACCAATCTGGCAGCCTTGGACGCTTGAACGACATTTGGCAGCGGCAATGACGATCAGCATCCTCCTCCTCATGTCGTAAACCGGACTCTTGATACCTTCAAGTGCAAACTACACCCACCTCACACGCCTTCCGCGATTCCTTGTGCACCGCACGTGAACTATCGGGCGTACGCTTTTCCCCCTGCACACAACCAAGTATCCCATAAATTGCACACCAATGCACTTTATGATTCCTTTCATCACCCCGAAGTACCTTGTCGGAAACACCACGCTGTCACTGATATGCATAGGTATTGTTTCTGTTTGCAGGTCCTCGTACTGCAGTAGCCCCATACATTATAATCATGACCACATGCATACCTTGTCGTCGACCACGATCACGGCCGGGAGCACGCGGATCTCTGCCTTGCGGATCAGGTTCGCCACGGTGGCGTTGTTGTGCACGATGCCCTTCCACGGCATGTCCTTCATGGCCTTCTCGTACGTCTGCAACAAGCCAACACACGCACACACACGCACACACAGGAGGCGACAAACATCGCACATCGCAGACAGAGCGGTGTTGCCATCGTTCACAAGGCGGCTCATCTTTCTGCTTTCTTCAGCATCTAGCAATGACGGTGATTCGTTGCAAGCAAACAAGGTCCTCTACCATTCCCCGATAGACTATACCTCAGCTCGCAAGCACGAAAGGCCTAGACCATCTCAGCAGCAGTAACACTGCCGTACACCATTGTACAGGACCCGGTTCAACCCAAGGCCAACTGGTCCGCGCGAAAAACAAAAAAAAACAGCGACAAGCGTCGCCAGGAGCAGCAAATAAACAACACAACTGCAGTGAGCAACGAGATACTTCTACACGATAGTCACAAACCTAAGAGTCGGCAGAGTCAGCACACCTGGCAAAAATGTTCGTACTTTCACGCGCAAGCAGGGTACCGTAGGTGACACAAAAACACCACGCACCCCTAGGCCCATGTGTCAAAGCTCGGTTGCTCCACAGCCGCCACAAGAGTGGCGATGCCCAAAACAAGGCGGGGTTGGAACCGTCTCGTCAGGAGCTTTCCGAAATATGAAAGTATCGTGTGATTTAGGGTATTCCTCTTCGTCGTGGAGTAATCGAGCCTTGAAGATCGACCTAATAGCGGCAGGGTGGGTGACATCCTGTTTGACCTTGTACGGCATACTATGCATCTGCTGAGAACTTGGTGCTCACCTCCAACGAGTCGGCCACCGGCACGTACACCACCTCAAGTTCCTTGCCAGCTTCCTTGGCCTTCTTGTACGCCTGGGTCACCAACAAACCGAGGGTTTGGGGGTCGGCAAACGAGCTATGTTACCACCTTAACAACTCCGTTGCCTGGATTTCCACGGGCCATGTGTGTCCTGAGCCATGCATCGAATACTTGAAACAAGACAGATGCACATGATCGTCTGTCCAGGAGAGATGTGTAGGAACCAGCACTGACATTGCCGTACTCACAAGAGTTGATATTCCGACTTGTTTCCATGAGTTGTTGTTGGAGTGCGACGCCTCGGGGTTTCACACGTGTAAGAAGCTCCAACTTCTGTGGTACGGTAGTCGTAAAACGTAACAGTCGCTGGGCACAAGGCGCACTGCTGCTGTCTGAATTCACACACCACGGACCTGATGCACTACATCGGTATCGGGCTTGTCGTCTCAAGGATACAGGGTCAGATGGACCACAACAACGACAACAACAACAACAACACACGACATGCGCAGAACATGCTACATGGTACCTCACCTCCTTCACGACGGGGGTTGGTCTCACGGTCTCCTGGCCCTGTGCGGCCTTCTCGAGCTGGTCCTCGACCGCCTGGCTGGAGAAGTAGAACGCCACGTGCTTGCCGTCGAGCGTTTCGCTGGCGGACACCTACTACGGCAATGCACAACCGGCACACGCAAAAGACGTCATCTTCATGATCAGAGCACAAGCAGCACGGGCTATATCAGCACCAGCGACGACCTGAAGCAAGGCATTCAACATCACGTGGACATCTCTCTCTGTGTGCTGGTGTGTACAGCTGTAGTGCACAGGTACAGGTTAATAGACGCGGCTTGCGTCGATCGCTGTTGGCCGTTGAAGACCGAAAAAAACAGTTAAGGGTTCATGAGCCCGAACAATGTGATGATACCGCCACAACAGGACGGAGCAGTCTTCCGCCATAACCAGGCAAAGGCCAGGTGTTACTGCCGTGCGTTGATTTACCAAGCCCTCGGCAAAGCCAGCAACGCGGCAGCGGAGGCAACTCCCGAAACGACAAGGTGTGCGTGATCTGCCGCTGACTCCTGACACGTGGGCGACGGTAGCCCCACGATTTTTTTTTCCGCATGTTGCAGTACCCTACTACGAACCTGCCTTGGCTGTCTCAAACACATACACATCCCCGCACCAACTCAACAAGATTTCCGGCTACACCGTACGGTCCCCGTGTATCTTTCCCGTTTAGAAAGCTCACCTCCTTCGTAGTGCCCTTTTTGGGGTTGTCCACCACAAGGAGGCTCTCCCCAACGATGTCGTTGAACGAAGACAGAGCGACCTCGACCTCGGAAAGGACTCCTGGGATACCCTCCGCTGCCTCCTCCGGTTCGTCCGCCCCGCCCCGGGAAGCAAGAGCCTTGCTCACCCATCGGTTGTTCGCCGGGGAAGACGTGGCGGCGGGTGCTCGCCGTGAGGCTGCGCGGGAGGCTGCTGCCACATGGGCTCCTGCTGTTGATGCTCTTGTTGCCGGGACCGCCAGCGCGATGGCTCCAAGAAGCGCGGCTTTGAAAACGTGACTGCTGCCGCTGCAATCGCGACCGTTTCGTCGTGGTCCCGGCATGGTATGTGCGTGTGTGTGCAGGAGGTGTGTACGAGACGTCAGATAGGTGACCGCTGAGAGTGGTTGTCTCTCTGCCGGGCTACGGGTGGTGTGCACGATGGGAGTCAGTGAGCCAGCTTGCTCCGCTGGAATCAACCAATAGGTATGCATAGGGTAAACGGAATGATCCACGGAGCCACCTCAAAATGTAGCGTTCAGAAGGAAAGCGTTGTTTGTGGAAGGCGTTTGTTGAATTCGAAAGAAAGCAGGGGACGGGTGCTGAGCGTCCCCTGCGTGCAAT